GGTCTTCGCTGCACTCGGCCCTGTGCCAGCTGCCCCGGGCTCTGTCTCTCGTTCTCGGCCTGGATGCTAATGCCGACCTCCTTTGGGCAGACGAAGACCACGCCTATATAGGCGACTGTCTGGGCAACAGTGAGGAGGGTGCTGGTGAGCAAGGTCTTTTTGACACCATCCAGCGCTTTGGTCTTCTCGCCCCAGCTTCATTCTCCGACATCCAACAGGGCCCGGGCTGGTCCTGGGAGCATACAGGCGGTACTCGGAAGCGGCTTGACCACCTCCTGCTTCAGGCGGGTCCATGGCAATGCACCCGCGCCCGGCAACTGCCCGAGTTGGACATCCTCAACGGCCGCAGAGATCATATGCCTCTCCTCGTTGAATGCAGTCTTAAACGACAGGCGACACCGGCGAGACGCCCCGGAGCACCCCCCCGAGCCACCGCTCAGCAAGCGCAGATTATTGCTGCTAGCCTTTGGTGTGAGCTTCCGTCTCCCGTGCGCAGCATCGCTGATGTGGGGCAGGAGGTCCGGGATCTCAAAGCAAGGCACCTCCGCCTCTTGAAGGCCTCTCGAGAGCCCCTCGGCGGCCTGCCCGACAGCCCTACATCACTGTTGCGTCTGTCGCTGCCCTGGATGTTGTGCGCCAGGCTCGCGAGCAACTCCCGCGCCTCCGCAATAATGTCGAATGGCAGAAACGGCGCTTTCTTCTACTAGTGTGGCGATGGAGCTGCGCCAGGGGACGATCCGACACTGCAGTCCCTCGCCCAGACCCCACCGGGCTTCAACATGCCCGGCTGTTGTTACAGGCCTGTAATCTGCACATCCGGGGTCTGCAGCAGAAGGCACATTACCTAGCCCGTTCTGACAAACTTGCCCATTTCCGCACCCTTACTCTTGCCGCCACCCAGCACTGGGAATCCACAGGCATTCCTTTGGAATCTATCCGGCATCTTCGATGGGCCTCCCGCAAGGCCCATGACCGTCGAGCTGTGCACGCCGCTGGCGGTTTCGACATTGACCGTGAGCTCGAAGCACAATTTCGTGACCAGGAAGGTGCCCGCCTCGTCTCTCCTGCCCAGCTCTCACAAACAGCCGAGCGGTGGCTCTCTGCCGACGCCACTCGCTTTCGAGGCAGTTCCATCACTGCTCCAAATGGAGCAAATGTGCATCCGACAGGCACCGGCTAAGGCCCCAGGACCCGACGGCCTGCGGAACGAGCTCTGGCGGGACCATGGAGCCCTTGCCGGTCAGTGGCTGTGGCCACTTTGCACCCGTATTGCGCTTCAGGGCCGCGAACCCTTCGATTTCAAGAAGGCCATCGTCTGCGCCCTCTACAAAAAGGGCCCGGCATCAGTACCAGCCAATTACCGCTCAATTGCCCTCCTTAACGGCATTGCTAAGCTGTGGCATTCACACCTCCGCACCACGGTTGGCGGACATGTGCTGTCTCGCTATGAGCCCATGCAGCTAGGAGGGCGCCGTGGCGTCCACACTGGTTTCGCATTGGCCGCTTTTCGATGCGCCTGGGACCTTTCTGTCTCTGCGGGGCGGTGCGTTGCTGTTGTCTTTGTCGACATCCAAGCCGCTTACTACGAGACTAGCAGAGATCTGCTGTTCGATGGCTTCCCTGACGATGTTGACGTCCCGGAGCACCATCACCTTGCTGGACTTGTCCTCCAGCTTCACAGTCAGGGGGCCCTTTCCGCTCTGGGAGTTGCTGAGGATGTCAGCGCGCTCCTTCGGGATTGTGTTGCCCTGTCCCACTGGTCGCTTTCCGGTTCGGACAACATTTTCCTGGCCTCTAGAGGTTCCCGTCCCGGCGACGGCCTCGCTGACATCCTGTTTGGTGCCTTATTTGCTATTGGGCTGCAACACATCCAGCGCACTGCTTGTTCCATGGGCATCTCGCACACCAGTGCCGGGGACGAGATCGGCCTCGAGCCAGGTGTCAAGCCGATTGGCTGGGCTGATGACCTAGCCGTCCTTGCGGACTTTGATAGTCCTGCCGAGCTCCAAACACAGCTCCCCCAACTCACCGGTGTCATTCTTGACACTCTCCGTTGCTTGCGGTTCCGGGTCAACCTTGGGGCAGGCAAGACCGAGGCCCTTGTCGATATTAGGGGAGAAGGTGCACGAGCAGCACGCGGCGCCTTGCTCAGCGGCGACGCCCTTTTGGAAGTTTCCAAAGGTGACAGCATTCGACTCTGCCCTGAGTACAAATACTTGGGTGTCGCCCAGCTGCCTCGAGACACCGGCAGACGTGACTGCGAGCTGTCGGCACAGAGAGGGTCAGCGGCGGCGTCTCTAGCTCGAACCCTGCTTTGCAGCAATTGTCTGCCTTGGGAGCTGAAACGAGCCTGGATTACTGGACGTGTCCTCCCCTCCGCATACTCCTCCCTTGCCTTCTCGCGCGCTGACTCCGGCCGGGCCGCTGCGCCATTGGCTGGACTCTTTGAACGCACAGCTAGGATTCTGCTGTCATCCTGGCAAGTTGGCCATAAGCTCACCACCCCTTTGCTTCGGCTTCTTGCTGATATCACCTTGCGACCACTGTTAGCCAGTGCCGCCTCTGTGTGCAGCTATTCTGCAGGGCACCTGCGGCTGTCCGGGACATTGTTGATGCTGCGTGGAACCGAGCACTCCCTTGGTGTCAGGCCCTCGTCCTTGCTTGTTTGCGCGTTGGAGTCGCCTTAGACTCCTGGGACCCTGCCGCTCCCCCTTCCATCACTGTCTTGTTCGTTCAGCAGAACGGACGCGCTCTCCTACGAGCGTGCAAGGCTCTGAGCAAATTTGGGCACAGATATGCTGCCTGCGCACAGCTTTGGGCGGATCTGGCCACCCGCCGCACCACGAAGATCCTTGGTGCGCCTCAATCCCACAGCTGCCCGGTCTGTCAAGGCGTTTTCCCGAGCCTACACGCAGTACGAGCTCACATGCATCGGAAACACGGTGTCCTTTCTGATGTGACTGCCTACATGGCTGGCTCGGTTTGTCTTTGGTGTATGCGAGACTTCCAATCCTCGGATCGACTAAAGCACCACCTTCAAACACAGCGCTCCTGCCTGCATGGCCTGCGCGTTACTGTCGGACCTGTCTACCAGTACGGTTCGGGCACAAAACGCTCAGGTCGCGCCAGCCACCGGGGAGTCCCTCCGCAGCGCATCTGCGGGCCTTGCAACGCCACCCCGGTGCAGAGACGGGCGGCCGACCTTGGGGTGCCGGCCGATGACGCTGCTCTGCAAGCAGAGTGGGACGCTGTTCAACGCTCCCCTGCACTCTCGGACCTTGTACCCGGCAACCTGCATCGACCATCTCCCTTGCCGCTTATCGACGACGACTCTGGCGCACGGCAGGCCTGCCACATCTCCGCTGCACGGGGTTCTTCCCCCTCGTCCTCTGTCTCTCAGCATTCCCGCTCGGCCACCGCTGATGTGGCCTCTCCTGTGCAACACCCTTTGCAATGGTTCTCCGTTGTGGAAGGGGCTGCTGGCTGTGACGACTGGGCTCTTCCCTCGCCCTGGTGGCCTGGGCTTCTTGGCCTCGGAGGGGTCTTTCAACTTCCCTCCTCCTGGCACCGGCTCTGGCCTATGTGGTCTGCGCTCGAGTTCTTCGAACCTTGGGAGAATCGGGCCATCCGTCGCTTTGGTGCTCTGCGCTCCGCCTCTTCGTGCGGGTTGGGCGCAGCAGCCACACTTGCTGATGCCACTGCTGGCAGGTGGTCTCTGTTGGAGTTGGCCGCTGCCACGGTGTCCTTCCGTATGATCTGCAAGACTGTCCTCCGCAGCGGTGCTCTCTGGCTTTGGGGGCGCCCCAGCAATTCGGGTCTTGCCCTGCTGCGCCGCCTGCTCCCGGCGGCCTTCTTCTTGGACTTTCTTTCGCCGAGGGGACGGGTCTTCCTTGTCGCTAGCTCTGCCTCCCTGGCCTCCCTTGTGCGTGCTGTCATTGCTCGTCCTGCCTGCTCGGCCCCGGCCTCGCTTCCGTTGCGAGCTTTCTGGGCCTACCCGGCTGCATGACTTGCCGCCCTTGTACAGTTCTTTTGTCTGCCTTTTCCAAGTCCGTTTCCGGCCGCGTGGCTATAGCAGCTACGCTTTTGGCCTTTGCACGCCTTAGTTAGCACAGGACATCCTCTTGCGCGAGTGAGTGAGTGAGTGAGCTTAGGCTTTACAGGCGGGGTTTAGGGTGCATAGGGTTTAGAGTACGTAGTAGTCGTATCCCCCGTGTAGCCCGAATATTATTCTGCGATCATACACCCAAACTTGCTAGTCTACCCTAAGGCCCCAAAGTAGTTCCTTCTTGGGGTTCATATTTAGAATTTTATGAGGTAAACGCAAAAAGGAACTACTATGGGGCCTCTGGGTAGATTAGATAGCAGAGCTGACCGCAACGTCATACCACGCCCGGAAGTCCCAGGCACAAAGCCCTGAAGCCACTGCTCTGCATCCGAATATCACTAAAAAAACACACCCCCAAAACCCAAAGTTCGACAACCCTACACACGTAGCCCCGACTCCTTGAAACTCATTTTTTCGGGATGACCTAAACCAGCATACATGGTTATGCAGAAATATGTGTCAATATGTATGTGTGTAATATATATATATATATATATGTGTATACATATATATATATATATATATATATATATATATATACATATATATATGTATGATACGTAAGAATCAATAAATGTCTGTCTGCATGTTTGTAGGTACGTAGGTAGGTCTGTATGTCGGTGTATGTGTATATAAGTGTCTATATCAGCGTATATATGCATAGAGATATGTACTCAAGCACGCATGCATGAACGTATGTTTGTATTCATGTGCGTGTACGTGTACGTATATACAACAGTATAAGTTGTAGCTACCCAGAGGACCCATAGTAGTTCCTTTTTGGGACCTCATAAGATTCTAATTAAATATGAACCCCGAAAAGGAACTACTTTGGGGCCATAGGCCATGGGTTAAGTATGTGTTTGGACATGTGCAGCAATTTCGAAGCCCGAAGGCTACGCTCCGTACATTCGGTGCTGAACCTTTCTCCGGCGGATCTCCTTGAGGAGGTGTCCCAGTGCTCGGGTTCAGGATGTGGGGTGTAGTGTTGACTGATGCGGGATCCAGGGCTCAGGGTCTAAGAGTTCGGAGTTTCGGAATTTGGCATTGAGGGTGTTGGGTTCAGGGATGGAGGTTTAGGTGTGCTCTACCTTCACATCTAGGGTTAATCATATAGAAGATGTCGATCAGATCTTGAGTTGTTCTTCCGTCTTCTTCTCTCCGAAGCAAAAAACGTTCAAAGAAGTCCACACTGCAAAGATCCAACAGCCTCACTCACTAACCCCCACTTGGACCTCAGAAAACCACTGCGTTTGGGTGGATCCCTATGGCGACGGTTTTTTCGGGCATTTCCTTCTGTGGGTCCTCACAACGGTAGGTTACCAGGGATTAAGGTAAGCTCTGTGGGAGGTATGCAAGCATATGGATATAGACCGACGCCCCCCTGCACAGGCCTTTTCACACCGAAGCTAAACCCTACACCTTCTGCCCTAAACTCTGAACCCTATACAGTAAACCCCATAAAGTTGGAAACCCGATTAAGGCCAAATAGTGCTGGGATTGCCTTTACATTATTACTCTTAAGGATTGAGGCAATTGGGTTTCCAACTTTTGGGCTTCCCTCCTGCTTTTTCCGCAGCCATCTCCAAGAATTTCAGATCCCGGTCTGGGCAAAGTCCACGGCCGAAGGACCGCGAGCTGTGGGATTGGTTTTTGGTTTGGTTTTAGGGTTTAAAATTCTGTTTGGGGTTTTCGGGTTAAGGATCCTGTTCTTGGTTTTCGGGTTTAGGATGCCGGATTTCCGGGCTTGGGTGCCGAGTGTTGGGTTTATGTGTTGCTTTTTGTGTCGGCCTTCGCACTGTCACTTAGTAGCCGAGTGGATACACTTTGCACTTTGCGGGATAATATTACCCACTATAAAACTAAAAGTGTACACTTTTGGGGGGGCTTATGAACTCAGCAACTAAGGTCAGGGTTTGGCTGTAGGATGTTGGAATCACGATTTTCGGCTGGAAAGACCTTGAGCTCCCACAGGGCGTGTACAAAGGTGGCTTGGCTTCAGGACTCTAGACCACGAACCCGACACCCTTGCGTTCATTGCGGGTTTCGGGCTCGCTTCGGAATTTTCGGGTCTTTTTGACTTTGCACAAGCAAGGGCTACACTGAATACGACTATCCTGTTCAGGGAGTTTTTGATAATGATGACCGCCGTGTCTGGGCGGTACTTCATTCGAATCCTGCAAAATCTCCCGTTGATATAATTCTTGCATCCCATACAGACCGTTTGAAGAGGTTCTGGTTTTGTCTTGTTTCTGACATGCATCGGCATTACATATCCGTCTCATTTTCAACAGGGTCTGGTCCACATGCCCAAACATTCGAGAGGGTTTTGATTTGGGGATTGTCAGGTTTCGAAAGCCTGAAGACTCAAGACGAAGCTTCTAAGCCTTCTAAACCCTAAACCTAACCCCTATAAACCCTATAGACCCTGAACCTAAACATTAAACCCTAAACCCTAAAAAAGCACCTTAAGCCCAAGAGCCTACATGGCACCAGGAGCCGCGCGATGTTGCACCGATGTGCTGTGTCCAATGCTTGCTGCCCCAAGCTGAGTGAGGAGGCGGGTTCAGGGTTTTTTGGGAGGTACGGTTTAGGGTTTGGGGTTTAAGGTTTAGGGTTTTTCGGGAGGTCGGGTTTTGGGGTTAGGGTTCAGGGGGGGTTACAGGTATTTCTGAATTTCACAAAACCTCGTTCAGCTCGGGGTTTGGATTTGTTAGGGTTTGGGGGTTTTGCTGTGTTACGAGGTTATTCACAAAAAGAGGGTTTGGAGTCGTGCGGATCCGGAGGGTTTCGGTGTGATAAAGCTCAGGAGTTGAGTTGTTCTGAGTTGAGGTTCGGGAAGGCTGTTTCGCATGGGACTTCCCTGGAATGTGTTTGTTGCTTTTGTAGTTGCCATTGCTCACAGTCCCAAAAGACATGGCTAGGTGGGAGTTTCCGAAAATTAGGGGGACCGTATTTGGTCAGGGTACTATATTAGGGTCCCCTATTGTCGGAAACTTCTAGGTAGGAAGAGTGCACGTTCGGGGATTGAGGGAACTATAGGGTGGAAGGGGTGTAGGAATCCGGGGGTTTCAGGTTTTCAGGGGTTGGTTCAAGCTCGTGGCGGATCTTCGTTTGCAGTTTTTTCAACTTGAAGTTCTTGGGGTAGTAAGCCCTAAGCCCTACCTGGACCCGGTATAACCTACCTTCTTAAGGACTTGTATAAGGAGATCATGATAAGGGACCCTAGAAAGGTAGGTTCTGCAGGGTCTAAAGTAAGGAGCTGCGGGCTGAAGCTGCACATGCACCCAAAGCCTGCAACCCTAAATTCCACAGAGACCGGAGCCTCCTCCAAGCACATTCAAAAACCCATTCGTTAAGAGTTCTCTATTTTAATTTGATCAGCTTAGGTATCCTACTATTTTTTTAAGGCATCGGAGCTATATCCCTGAACTAATGACACAAGCCCTCAAACCTTTTAGCCCAAACACCTTGAGCGTTTCACCGGACTGCCAAGAGGCTTTTGCTCTGCGGGGCCCCCTCAAATTACGGAACGAGGAAGAAAGCCTGGGTTAATACGGCTCGTAATACGAGCTTTCGGCCCGATGCACAAGGCACAATCCTTCCCGAAAGAGCCATTTGTTCCCGCCAGGAAACCTCCAAAATAGTGGTTGTCCCCAGGGTCTGAATATCTAGAACTGGATTTGGGGATATATTACAACCGAAGTATTGAGACACTACTACAATCAAGTGTTGTTATTGCAGCATAAGTAGTGACCGGGACGGCAAGGGGACACTACTGCAAGTGGGTGCTGTTACGGTAACGTAAGCAATTGCAGGGTCTGCATGGGGACACTACTACGACTAACTACCCAAACTCTTGTGAGTCTTGTATTACACGAACCCTCGAGTCATGAACCCCCCCAGACCTTGCAGGATTTCAACGGCTTGAGTGCGTTTGGAAATGCGCAGCAACTGTTCAGCATGAAGGTCTTTGGCGAACGCTTCGCGGTGTGTCCACTTTATTCCTCGCGTTTGAGGTTCTTGGAGCTCCTCATAATTGGTGGTATTATTCACAAAAAAAACTGTGTAGCTATACCAAAACAGCAGCGCCCCGCCTGCCTCAAAAAAGTGCTGGGCTCCGCCGTCAACCACACTATGCCGGAGAAGGATCCGTGCATGATCGTTCGGGTGTGTATATATGATGCCGTGTCGCGTGTTAGTACCCCCCCAATGGTATGGTCCCCCCATGGTATACACCCGAAATCCTCGTGAGTGTCATCACTGTTGTCTCACAAGTGCTAACAGTCACAGGGATGGGCCGGCCGAACTCGCGATCTTCGTGAGTTCCGTGGCTTTTGAAGCTATGCAACTTCGTGGCGTGTCCAGAGTGGCGACAGTCACCCGGTCGGGGCATGGTTTCGGTCTTGCGCCCAGCTGCTGACCCTCAACCCTTTTCAGATCTATACACCTAAACCCTAGACAACCCCACCGCCCACAGGGAGGGTGCGGGTGCGAACCCTAAACCCTAAACCCAACACCCACCACCACACCACAGGGAGGGGGGAAGGGGGTTAAACACTAAACCTGAAACCCACAACCCACCACCACAGGACACCACACCACACCAAGGGGGGGGGGGGGGGGGGGGGGGGGTTTCAATAGCCCAAAACCAACCGCCGCACCACGGGGGCGGGGGGGGGGGGGCGGGGACTTTGATTCTCATACTTATACATATAAATGCAATACATACGAACATATAATATACAAGTCTGAGTAAATGGCAATACATACGAACATATACAAGTCTGAGTAAACGAACATAGCTGAAACGTAAGCATATGAGTAGTATAACTAGACATAAACAAATCTCAGCGTACATATCGATCTATCGGTGTAGGTATGTATGTGTGCATATGCATGTATGTATGTACTTAGGGGTACTTAGAAACAAGTTTTAATCTTTGGTTATTCTAATCCCCAAGAAACAGCAAAAAATACAATTTTGGCTAGGGTTCTAAGTTCAGTATAGTGTACGTGTATGTATGTTAAGGGGTCACTCAGCCCGAAGTCTTGCACATGGGAGTTTCCGAAAATTAGGGGGTACCTTATGTTGGAATCCTTATAATAAGGATCTACTATATATAGGATTTAAGGTTTAGGGTTTAGAGTTTCCGAAAATTAGTAGGGGTACGTGTAATTTTGGGAATCCTTATAATAAGGATCCTACTATTTAGGGTACCAGATCAGGGTGCCCTACTTTCCGGAAACTCCCATATTACATTAGGAACCAGTTTCTTGTGCAGTAGGTACTTAGTAGCTGAGTTTATGAACTTTAAACTTTTTGGGATAATGAAACCCTCTTAAACTGAAAGTTTAAACTTTTTTTGGCTTATGAACTCGGCACCTAAGGGTAGCTGCTGGGCTGTGGGTGCCTTGTAGGGGGTTTTCGACAGGCTTTATCAGGAACGGTCTCCTAGTTGGGTCGATCTCTAAGTGAGGACCCTTTTAAGACCCATTGTATGAGGGTGCCATAGTGTTTTGCTCATCTGAACCCGCCGATATGCAGCTGGGCTTTTCCTGAGTGTTCGAAGCTGTAGAGTCAACACAGCGCATCTTTAATTTCGATTGCAAAACTTGCCAAACCGAGGAGAAGGCGGCGTTCTTAGGTTTTTCTTTGGGATTAGGGCGATTGCAACGAACATAGGGATCGGGGATATGTCCTTAGAGTATATGAGAGAGAGACCTTACTACTACATATTCGATTTCTACTGTTGATGGACAAAATCCTGCATGACCCTAAGGACTCTAAACTATGGAAACTATGGTATATTCCTTATAATGAGTACTGCAGGATTTTGTCCATCAGCAGTAGTATACATAGGTTTGTGACGTGCGATTTACCATTTGAGGCCTTCGGTCTACCCATCCTTGAAGCTGCTAGGTGCTGAGTTCGTCGTGTCGTATTTCC